CCGGCGGACAAGCTGGGCCGGAGGGAGCCCTGCGGAGGGAGCGGGGAGCAGAGGGGAGGCGGGAGGGACGGCCGGAGAGAACTGGGGACCGTAATGTAAGTGGACCGCGCAACTTCCCTCGTGTCGTCGGCTGTTCTGTTCTTACTGTAATGAAGTGCACCTAACAGAAAGTTTACTGTCTTAACCACTTTTAGGTGCACAGTTCACTTACATTAAGTACCTTCACACTGGTGTGCAGCCGTCACCAACCACCGCCATCACTTTCCATCTTCCCAAACTGAAACTGTCCCCGTTAAGAACGACCTCCCCTACATGTGACTCTATGAGGCTGACTATTCTCGGGACCTCATGTGAGTGAATCTCTTCTGTGACTGGCTTATTTCACTGAGCATCATGTCCTCGAAGCCCGTCTGCACTGCAGCCTGTGTCCGTTCCCTCCCATTGCAAGGATACCACCTCCGTTCATCATCCGTAGATGGACACACAGTTGCTGCTTCCACCTCTCCGCTATCGTGAATAATGCTATGGACATGAGTATGCAAATCCATCTTGCATTCCCTGCTCTCACTTCTTTAGGGCATATACCAGAAGTGGAATTCTGGATCGTGTTTGCAAGTTTTGAAGTTAGGAAGTGACATGATCTGCTTTACATTTTAAAAACCACTCTGGATCTTGGAGAATGAATCTAGTCTCTAGAAATGACTGATCTCTTTTTTTAAACATGGTGTCTGGAACCTGTACATTTACGTATTCTTCTAGAAGGTTGCTTACTAAAACAATAGTAAAAAGATTTAAAAAGGAAAAAAAAAAACATAAACAGATATACTTGAGTCCACAAAAAAAAGAGAGATCAGTTGACAAAATTTTGGAAGCCGGAATTCAGATCTTTATCGACCTGGGAAGATGGAACACCACTTGCCTGTACAGAGGGAAGCCAAGAAGCGAGCTCATTCAGTCTAGTGAGTCTAGGAGTCTGCGGAATTACAGGCATTAGCTTCACCTCTGACGACAGGAGGGTAGGTGGGGCTAAACAGAAGGAATGACTGAAAATCTGTGAGGTTGCCCTCTACGTCCTTTCATCACCTGTATATTCAAATGAATACTTCACCTCCATCATGGCAGAAGACTAGAGAAATTTCATTCCAGAGGAATTGAACCAGAAGGACTGGGTTTGAGAGTACCAGGCAGCTGAGACAGGATGCAGTGATAACGAGATTATGTGAAGGTCACATAGTAATAGTAGGACCTCTAACCCCTTTCTTCCAATGAGCCACAAGAATGTTGGCCACTAGGCTTATAACATGTTCCTCTACAACCACTATCCTTACCCCCAGGCAAGAAACTAAAGGAGAAAATGACCAGCCCGAGAGAAAGGGCCTCAGCTATTGAGGACAGGTAATCCCCCCAAAAACCTGGTCCCTGCTTGGTCAGCCCACGGTGAAAGTGCCATTTGACAAGTGATGCCCAAGTGGCTTTGACTTAAACACATGCACAATCATGGATCAACGGACATTTGAGGAAATCCTGACTGGGAAGAACAAAGATCAAAGCAAAGAAGAAGAAGCGAGCTCTGGTTAAATAGAAACACAGAAAATTTCAGATCCTATGTGATTAAGATCCCAAGGGATGCGATACCCGTGAAACAAGGATGGGACACTATCGGGAATGTTCTAAGAGCGAGAAAAGGGCAAGAGAGGGTTGATAGGACAGCAAGGAAAAGTCAGCTCAAAGTCGGCATGTATTTATCACTGGCCTCGCAACTTCAGGGGACAGTCCTGGTCTAGAGGACTCTTCCTATGCTGCCGGTAGCTAAGCAGCGGTGTAGTTTACCACAATTAAAAAAAAATGTGAAGGCAGCCAGCCCTCTGACCACGCATTTCTCCCAAAGCCACAGCACTCATTCTGAGAAATAAAAATCACCACCGAAAAAGCTACTTTATTGTGACCCTAATCCAATCGCGGTGACAAGTGAAATCATCATTACTGTATTGTTTCTAGGGCAGCACCACCTGAATTCAGCACAAGATTCTGAATTAGCTTTCTATTTCTCCATCCTTCATTTTAGGGCATCTTGAATCACATGATCTGGAGTCAGATAAAGTCCTGACTGGGCTGTTTCTACCTGTCACCCTGAGCAGGTGAGCATTCCCCCCAGATGCAGGTCAGTAGAGCAGGTGACATTCCCTCTAGGCCATCCTCACTTCCCCAGGGAGGCCAGGTAGGTGTACCAGAACAGAGCCACCAGGCTGGCAAAAAGCACCCGGAACTGCCAAAGAGAACACAGGCCAAAGTAAGTGGGAGGCCGCGGCCGTTAGGACAGAGTTCACGCACCGGTGGGTCCGGCCGCCTTTGCTTTGTGCAGAGCGCGGGGCTAGGCCCCCAGCAGAGCCGGCTGACGGGGACAGAGTTCCTGCCTAACGAGGCTGACAGGCCAGCAGGGGGAACACAGTAACTGTCCCTTATTTGCCTCCACTGAGCACGTCAGCTCCTGTCACTGTCCCATTGCCCTGCTTCAGTGATCTGATAAACCCCATCGGAAGTACCTTGTCAGCGAGTCTTCCTGGCACATAAGCTCCGTGGAACAGCAGTCTACGCTATTGCATCAATCAGTGAATCCGAGTCTTGAGCACTGGGGCATACAGTAGGTGCTCAATAAACATGTTGAATAAACCGCGGCCCCTTAAGCCCTCACCTGCAACCCCCTCGAACGGAAATCCAGTCACGGCGTTCTACTCCTACTTGAAAAGATTTGATTTTCCAGCTTCTCTGACAACCACAGACCCCTGTGTCCTCAGGTCATTTCCTCCTCTGTGTTCCTTACGTTCCATGGCCCACGGCCCCAGTTTCCTTAACTTCCTGTCCCTGGTCGCGCTCCGTGGAAGAACCACCACCCGGCTTTCTCACCTCCCCCGGGCCCTCGCACGAGGGGCAAGTGACGAGGGTCGTCAGCCTTGCTGGCGCTGTCCCCCAGTCAGCTCCCGCTGCGGTGCCCCGCAAGCCTCGCCCCCCTCGGTCTGGCCTCGGCCCACC